TACCTGCAGCTGCAGCAGCAGCAGCAGCAGCAGCAGCAGCAGCAGCAGCAGCAGCAGCACAGTCCGCAGCATACATTGTTGCTTTTTTTGCGTTGCGATGTTGAGCTTAAAGATATCTTTGTTTGGTTTCTATAGAAAGGGCAGACACACAATATATACAGGGGCCCCCGTCCCCCTTTATAGTATTTATCAGGGGCCCCCTGCTGCAGCAGTTGCTGCGGGGGCCCCCCATACAAATGGCGGGCCATGAGCAGCCGCTGCAGTACCCTTATCCCTTTACTCATCCCCCGCGTTCTCTCCCGGGGCCCCCCCCAGGCAGACCCAGAGATGTAGATGAGAGAGAAAAACACAAAGAGGGGCCCCACCTGCTGGAGTGGCTGCTACGCGCAAAGGCAGAGCTGCGGGCCCTCCCCCCTGACTCAGCTGCAGGTGAGCGGGGGCCCCCCCCCCCATATGAAGAGGGGGCCCCCAGGAGGGGGGCCCCCACCCAGGGTGGTGGTACCTCTAGGGGGGCCCCCGAGGGGGGGACTTCATCCCCTAGGGGGGCCCCCAGGGGGGCCCCCAAGGGGGCCCCCATAGAACTCGCAGAGAACCCTACACGCAAACAAACCCTCAGGGGCCCCTTGTCTGCTCAGACAGCAGCAAGAGAAGAAAACCCTAATGTCTCTATAGGAGGAGACAGAGAGATGCCAGCCCCAAACTCTATGCATGCAGAGAGGAGACAGGGGCCCCCGGGGGCCCCTGGTGCTGGGGAGGGTTTGTTGTCTGCTTCAGATTACTATATGCTGCAGCAGCAGCAGCAGCAGCAGCAGGAAACAGAAAATGAAAAAGAGACAGAGGAGGAGGAGCAGCAGCAGCAGCAGCAGCAGGGGCTGCTGCTGCAGTGGGGAGACAAAACACACAGCTGCAGCAGCCTCAGCTGGTCAGATAGCGAGGAGGAGGGGGCCCCCGTGCTGCTGTCAGCAGAAAGCAGCGGTTTGCTGCTGGCGGGGGGCCCCCTAGCCCCAGACGGAGACGCTTCATACAAACATGGGTACCTCTTGGGGGGCCCCCCCCAACCCCCCGAGGGGCCCCACACCCACAGAGAGGAGGGTCTACCTGCGTCAGATAGAGACACAGCAACCCCTGCTGCTGCTGCTGCTGCTGCTGCTGCTGCTGCTGGTGTTGCTGCTGCGCTTCGTGGGGCTGAGGAGGAGACAGGGGTTACTGGGGGGGGGCCCCCAGAGCCAGCAGCAGAGACCCTATTGTCTCCTCGTTCTCCTTGTGCTGTTGAGGGGCCCCCCGAAGCAAAGGAGAAAGAGGGGGGGTGGGGTTGTTGTTATGAGGCCGGCGAGGGCCTCCCCGGTGCCGGGGATCGATCGATCCCAGCCTCACCCCACACCGGGGGGGCCCTCGCCCCACACTTCTCCCCCGTTGCATACCAAGTGTCTCCGCGGGGCCACCAGGGGGCCCCCAAGGGGCCCCCCCTCAAGGCTGCTGACCTCCCCCTCTCCCCGGGGCCCCAGGGCAGACCCTATAGACCAGCTAGCAGCAAGCTGCGGGGGCAGCGAGGCCCTGTGAGTGAGCAGCTGAAGCAGCAGCAGCAGCAGCAGCAGCAGCAGCAGCAACAGCAACAGCAGCAGCAGCAGCAACAGCTGCTGCAGCGACAGAAGCAAGAACAAATGCATGAACTGCAGCAAGAACAACAGCAACAAGAACAGCTTCAGCAAGAACAGCTGCAGCAGCAGCAGCAGCAGCAAAGACACAGCTGGAGCAGCACAGCCGCGGAAGCAGCAGAAGGGGCAGCAACCCTGTGGGGGGCCCTCGCTACTGACAGCAGCACCTCAGCAGCAGCAGCAGCAGCAGCAGCAGCAGCAGCAGCAACTGCAGCACCGTCTTCTCTATCACAGGCAGAGTCGTTCGCTACAAGGGTCAGACGGGCTGCGCTTGAGCAGCAGCAGCAGCAGCAGCAGCAGCAGCACAAGCAGCAGCAGCAGCAGCAGGAGCTGGAACAACAACGACTGCTTCACAGGCATCAGCATGGATTGCAGCAAGAACTACACATACAGCTGAGACACCAGCAGCAGCAGCAGCAGCAGCAGCAACAGCAGCAACAGCAGCAGCAACTGCAGCACCATCTAGCACTGCAGCAACAGCAGCACCAAGAGGGGCAGCTATATCTGGCGCCTCCATCTGCCGTGTACGTACCGAGTTCACCAGACCTGCAGCAGCAGCAGCAGCAGCAGCAGCAGCAACAGCAGCAGCAGCAGCAGCAGCAGCAGCAGTTTGCTTTTTTACAGAAGCAACGCATGCAGCAGCAACTGCAACCCTTTGTTCCTCCCCACCCTGAAATCGCATCCCCCTTATCGCAGCAGCTGTCTCCTCAGCAGCAGCAGCAGCAGCAGCAGCAGCAGCAGCAGCTTGCGCTGCAGCAGCAGCAGCAGCAGCAACAGCAGCAGCAAGACTGGTCTGTGTGGGTGCAGACCTCTACCTGTGTGCAGCAGCACGTGCTGCTGCGGAGGCCCCCAACTGCAGCAGCAGCAGCAGCAGCAGCAGCAGCACAGGAGAGACAAGAAGAAGTTTTGTATTACCCCCCGCTGCCGCCGGCGAGGCCCCGCTTGAAGCAGCGTCCGTGTTCTTTAGGCAACTGGCTAGGCCCTGGTTGTTGACAGCTAGCTAGCTAGCTAGCTGGCTGGCTAGCTAGCTGGCTGGCTAGCTAGCTAGCTGGCTAGCTGGCTAGCTGGCTAGCTAGCTAGCTGCGGGGAGACTGAGATACTGACGCACGCAGCTCTTCGCTAGTTGTCTCCACAGCGCAGCTTACACGGATGCCTGGCTAGCTAGCTAGCTAGTCAGCTAGCCAGCTAGCCACAGATGCACCTGAGCAGCTGCATGCATGCATGCGGTGTCCCTTCTGAACCTTTCGCTGGTTTTTGGTTTGTCTCCGCCTCCTGCGGCAACTGCATTCTTGTCGGCTTCTTTCTTGTTATTTTGTTTGTCTCCTTTTGTCTCCTTTTGTCTCCTTTTGTCTCCTTTTGTCTCTTTCTTTGTCTCCTTTTGTCTCCTTTTGTCTCCTTTTGTCTCTTTCTCTGTCTCCTTTTGTCTCTTTCTCTGTCTCCTTTTGTCTCTTTCTCTGTCTCCTTTTGTCTCTTCCTCTGTCTCCTTTTGTCTCCTTTTGTCTCTTTCTCTGTCTGCTTTTGTCTCCTTTTGTCTCCTTTTGTATTTCTCTGTCTCCTGGTGTCTCCTCTTGGGTCTGTCTGTTTCCTTATGAAGCCCTTCTGTGCTGTCTGTCTCCGTTTGTCTCTTTTTTCTCTGCCTCTTTATCTTTTGTTCTTTTGTCTCTGACTCTATCTGTCTCCTTTTGTCTCCTTCTGTCTCTTCTTGTCTCCTTTTGTCTCCTTCTGTCTCCTTCTGTCTCTGTCTCCTGAGGCGTGTGTTCGCCGTGGGGACGCGCAGCAGCTTCTGTGGCTGCGTGCTGCTGCTGAGATTCCTTATAGCGGTGGCTGCATGCAGCGTGCATGCAGCCCCGATAGTTTGGGGTCTGCATACAGCCTGCATGCAGCGTGTATGCAGCGTGCATGCAACCTGCATGCAGCGCGCATGCAGCGTGCATGCAGCGTGCATGCAGCGTGCATGCAGCCCCGATAGTTTGGGGCTTTCATTGTTCTTTAAGACACAGTGGTGAGGGGAAAGAGGGGTGGGTGGGGTTGTTGTTCTCTGCTGATGCCTAGACA